TTTATCTTTAAAAATAAAATGCGCAGGCGGGTGGCTGATTTGAGAAAGAATGCCCCATATATATATATATATATATACATAAAAATTTTCACCTTTCGCATTTTCGCTTGAGAGGAAAAGTTACATGATTGATACCCTGTTTAATTTCTGCCATCAATCTGTTGATATAAAATGTTCAACAGATATTAACGATAGAATAGGAGCAGAATGCGACAGTTGACGTTAATCTACTAACATTTTCTGATCAAATTTGCTACCAATCTGTCGATATTCTGCTAACATTTTGCTATCTGAATTAGCTACTCATATTTTTCTAGGTACTATTATATAATCATTACATGACTAATCGATCAACTCATTCTTACTCTATTCTGTTCTAGTACGAAGGGTACAATATCAACACAACAGTTGTATGTCCTTATTTTATCCGTAGTACCGGCATGTTCGATGACGTTCAATCAAGGTAGATGAGATTTTGATATTTATGATAATACAATGAATATACGAAATTTCTCAATGTTTTAGAAAATTTTTTAGAAGCTATTATTTTAGAAATAAATATATTATTATTTATATTTTTTCTAATAATATAAATGTAAATAAATTAGCTTACTACATGTATGAAAGTATATACAATATTTAAACTTTAGATACATCCCGACTCTAAGTCCAAATGCTGTAGCCGATAGAATTATAATGGCGATGAGGTGTAACGAAAAGTATGCCATCATTCCAGGCTACTTACAAATTTTGCTTACTTTAAAGTGGTAAGTAAATTTGTTATTTTGTTATTTTATCGCTCCAATGAAAAAAATTGCATAATCCTTAAAACGCAGGATATTTCCATGGCCATGTGTCGCGATGTTTCTTCGTGGATTAGTAAGAGACGTTTCGCCAAGCCATGAAAATAACAAATCATGTGTAGTTGCAACTGCGACTATCGCGGAAAAGGAATGTATCGTACCGTCATCAAAGGATCAAAACGGCGCTGCCATCCATCAACAATTAGCTAGACGTATCTCTAGCCCCGAAAGAAAACCTTGAACTTTTCTTACTCCGTCTCTGTTTTAATGTCGATCTAGAATGTTAAAATTTTGTTAAAAGGTTAGAGTTTTCTCTCTTCCTACTGTGTCTTTACCTTGCAGGTCTTCATATGTTTCAATCTTTTACATTATTTTAATGGAATAAATCGCTTAATATGTTTGTACAGTGTTGAATAAAAATACTATCCATTTTGACGAGTAGAATTGCGCAGAGCTTCTCTTTTTTCAAGTTTCTTATAGCTGCGTCTTCAGTAATCGATCATTCGCCAAGAAAAAAAGGAAATGTGAAGAAAGTGCATCTCAATCTATTAAAAAATTGGATAACATCTTTGTTCTCGATGTATGACCTAGCACAATGTAAGGAGCTTTCACATAAAGGAGAGTTGCTAAATGCGTACTACTTCCGAGAAAAAAAGATTAGATCTGCCGAGAAATGATTATATCTTATTCAAAAAGTTTGGATCTCGCCAGATATGATCCGGTAAAAAATTTTGTCATACAGGGTGTTTCATACCTGCTGGATCACCTCTCGTGAGGAAATAGAGCGGACTAGACTGAGTAAAAAATTATCTACCATTTTTGCAATTTTCACAATAGCTAACGAAATATTAATTTCTAAAAATCGCCAAAGAAATACGTATTCGCCTAGCCCACCACTAAATGCAAGCGCGATACAACATACAATAGTCTGGCGCGGAGAGATGTTTTCTTTCGCTGTTCGTGCGTTGCTAAGGCCGCTTATAGTAAACAACTTCTCGCATAGTAGCAACCTACGACTTCTTCTTCTTATTGGCCTCGCAGCCTACATAGGCTGGTACTGGGCCATTGAGGTCTACGTAAATTGAGCGAATCGTAATTGGGAGTGCAATGCACCGGCCATCTCGAACCGGGCGAGTAACAGACTGCAAAATAAAGGATGATGCAATCAAAATGGTGAGGCGTCCCTTCAAACACTGGACGCCTGCGGCTACGACGCTTCCACGCCGCACGGCCGCACGCCAAAACGGATAAAGGGACTATCGAAATTGAAATACAACGGCACAGTCCAAACCGGCAACGCTTTTCAAAAATATAGTCGAGGTGACGCAACACCCGAGACGAGAGGGAACACGTCTGATCCGCTCGAGTGGTCCGACAATACTAGCAAGCAACCTACGACGGTCGTCTTACAGAGACGGTGTTCCAAAATTTACTGCCAATGCTGAAAATGTACAGTATACGTAATGTAAACTGTAGATTTTCAGCGCTGGCAGTGAAATTTGGAACACAGCCAGAATAGTTTCTTTTAATTTGGCCCCATGGGGCGATAAGAGTGGAATGCCAAAATTATAGAGTAACCTCTCTACAGCACGAGTCTACCAATCACCACATAGAGGAAAGTGGGGGAATTGTGCGCATCCTGGTTTGGTACTTTTCCAATAGATAAAGACATTACCGTGGTGAAATTTTTACGCAAGAAGTCGTACTCTTAAAATATAACTATAAAAGATACGACATAAATTACCTTGCTAGCTAGAGAAATACAAAAAAGTGAAATCACACCTTTTCTTGTTATTTTAACTTTCAGAAAATAAGGTGGTAAGTCCGCATTTTTAATTTGTTTGTTTAAAGTTGCATACGTTATTAAAGTACATTATTATGTGCATCTTTTGAGCTATTTATTAAGTTTGGTTATAAGAATTGTTGAAGTAATCGTATTTTGTATCGAGTCAGGTCGCGGTGGGCAACTGTGCGCAAGCGTTTTGAAATGCGCACAATTATCTATTTTCCATATACTGTATGTCCATGACTAGCACTAATTTTGTCGTTTCTTCTTGGCATTATTATTTTATTTTACAATTTCATTTTACCAAAATCTATGTGCATTATTATTATATTAGTTTTATATTTTTTCTTAATATATACAATATATATTTAAAATATATTTAATATATATTTATATTGCAATATAACGAAATATATTTTCTGATTTCTTTGTCAACATTTCACAATTCATTCATTTCTTACAACTTTTATTTTGTGCACAATTACCCAACACATGCGCACAATTACCCAACACGCGAGAAATTTTTTCGCTTTTCTGTTTTTTCCTTTTGATTAAATACAACCTTATTGAATGAAAATCTGTTCGATATGAGGATACGTATAATGGTAGAAGAATGTTTATAGTTTCTGTTTCCATACTTATATCGCTTTAAACTTGGAAAGTCATTCCGGGACAATAAATTTCCCTTAGGTACACACAGTCCCTCCACTTTCTCTTACTTGCGCGAACACAGTTGCGCACACTACCTGTCAAAGTGCACTATAGTGTACATAACCTTAGCAGAACAAGTCATATGTAGAGGCCTAGATACCAGTAGGGATGCGCGATTTTTACCGATTTATCAATATGATCGATTTTTTGGGGCAAAAAACCGGTTATTTTTGGCCAGTACTTTTGGAGGCGGTTTATCGATTTTCGGTTTTTTTAATTAAATATCGTAGCAATATCGTAGCTGCGTTCCGGTATTCACTAGGGCTGCGTTCAAAAACATCACCCGGGTGTCTCCGTGTATTATCTTATCCTTGTTTAACACTGAGTGAACAACAAAGATAATACGATACGCGGGGGCACTCGGGTGATGTTTTTGAACGCAGTCTAGGTCTGTTTTTTATTGCTGCACTCTCCGAACGGGTGTAGCAATAAAAAAACAGACCTAAGGCCAGTTTCTCCAACGCCAGTTAAGTTACCGACCAGTTAACCGACCAATCGCAGTTGCTGTTTAGTAGGTCAATTCTACTATAAAGTCATTTCGGAGAAATTGGGGGTTGCACCCAGTTGGACACGGCTCAATTGGACACGAGCCACTCACAGCGCTTGAGACTACAAAGCTCCTAAGCACCGGTCGTTGTGATTGGTGGTGTCCAATCGAGCCGTGATCAATCGGGATCACCCCGAAGTTGGAAATCTGCAATGTCGGTAAGTGACTTTAGGATTCCCTTAATAAGTAAAAAAATATTTGTGCTTAATTTTCAAACACTAAAAAAGAAAAAACCAATGTATTGTTTCTTTCTGATTTTTTAAAAAATTGAAAAAACCAATATATCGATTTTTCGATCTTTTCCTCCTGAGAACTGATTGCCGAAATCAATTTTTTTCATTTTTACCGATTCTTCCGATATCGATTTTTTTTCCAATATCGCATATCTCTAGATACCAGAGATGCGACATTGCGTCGGTCGGTAGATTAGGTCGTCATCGCCATTTTAATTTAGTATAAGTACTTATAACCATAAGGTGCCTTTTCATGCTGACGCTCCACGCTCGTTTCAAGTTGTTTTCAGCGTCAAAATAAATCACAAGGTCTCTCGAAATTGATATTCACCAATTTCTATCACGACTTATTTTGACGCCGAAAATGAGCGTCGGCATGAAAAGGCACCTTTATAAGCTGATGACAGCTGATGCATTACATGAGGAAAGTTAAATTATTAGAAAAAGAAGAAAGTATAGTACGTACTTATAGTAGATACTTAACAGTATATTATATACGTACATACATTGGCTGCGTTCAGCAGACTCAATAGTTTTGTAAGAGGTGATCCCGATTGACTACGTCTCGATTGGACGCCACCAATCACAGCGACCGGTGCTTAGGAGCTTTGTAGTCTCAAGCGCTATGAGTGGCTCGTGTCCAATTGAGCCGTGTCCAACTAGGTGCCACCCGCTTGGAATGAGTTCCGATCGGAATTATTTAGTTTTCGGTAATAAACCCATGTGGACAGAGAAGTGTGTAGACAGTAATGCTTAGGTTCGGGGCAGCTACGCCGCCCCGAACAAAATAGAAATAACATATCCTACCTGCTTGGGGCCTAACCGCTTAGAAGTTACAGCGTAGACAGTATCCGCTAGGAATATTCTTAACCCGTGAAGACTGTGGGGTGTGAGAAAAATCTTCATAGGGCGCCTGTATCTATATTTCGGTCAAATACATGATATTTTAATATTTAATTAAAAATGTCTGGATGACTCACAAATGTTTTTAATGGTACTTTATAACTCTTCCTACGAAATACAAACGATTTCATGTATAAACTTTGTTGAATTTAGATCCGATTAATTATTTCGGTCAAGTACATGGTCCAAAAAAGAACGATTAATTGTAATTAATACAATGGCTCACAAACATTTTTATTTGCACTTCAAAACTCTTCATACGAAATACAAACGATTTAAAATAATAATTTTTACAACCGGAGGTTTTATCCGATCAAGTACATACGAATTGCACACATTGCATGTTGCATACATGCGTCGTCAATTGGCCAATTTAAAAATAAAATATTCTCATTGGTAAAGCAGTGAAAAATTACTTGGCACCAACTGATATGAGTGGTGTGTGCAATCGGGATTGTAGGCAAACGGGATGTAAGACCAACTGCAGTCGAGCATTCCCTTGTCATTCGACTGTAACAGGGGAATGCTCGACTGCAGTTGATTCTTGCATTCTGACCCGGATCGAACCGTCGGTGTAAACTAGGCCTATAGGTAGAGTCCCCTAGGACTAATTATACGCAGTAATGAATTAAAATGGCGCTCTGATCACGTGATTTAGACAGCCAATCAGATCATACCCTTCAATGTCGCATCTCTGTTATGTAGGCCTCTAGTCATATGTATTACAAAAGAATACATTACACAAAGCGTGCATTCGTTTATGCAGCGGTTAGCGCAGAAGTATTACTTTATCCTTGTTGTTCACCGAGTGTTGAATAAAGATTAAATGATATTTACTGCGCTAACCGCTGCATAAACGAATGCACGCAAAGTCTCGCAAGACCGCTCGAGCGGGACGTACGTGCGTCTGGCCTGCTTCGGGTGTTGCATTATCTCATTATTTTTTGAAAAGCGTTTCCGGCTTCGACTGTGCTTCGACTTTGCATTACATTATTATTTTGGGGAGGGCTCCGATTGCACACATCGCATATTGCCCACATGTATCGCTGATTGGCCAATTTAAAAATAAAATAATCTCATTGGTAAAACAGTGAAAAATTACTAGGCACCAGTTGATATGAGTGATGTGTACAATCAGAACTGTAGGCAAAAGGGATCCTCCCATTATTTTGACAAGACTGGCCAAACTCACCTCGTTGGCGAGGGCCCGGACCAATTATATATAGAAGAAGAAGAATACATTACACAAATAGTTATACATAACCTGCCTATGGAATACACTGTGAGAATCTAGTATAATGAGTGCAGACGCGCGCGCAGTACATGTTCAGCCTATCACGCCATGGAAGAGACACGACATTAGTGTTTGTAAAATTAGTACGTGTGAGGAATGCAAAGATTACAGAAATCAAATTTAGAGATACTTTATTGTACCACGTCGCGCTTGTATTGGCGGTAGCCCGTGCTATTTACCGACATTTAGATATTAATA